ACATTAGCTGATTAAAGATTAGTTCCTTTTTAATTTAATTTGGCATGTAAGCATCAAGAGATAACAAAGTACATTAGTTGCATGCAAGGAACATGTAGATATTTGTCCATTGAAAACCACGGATAAAATAACATTATGGGTGGCAAATTCTCTAGAATTTAGCTATAGACTTTGACTTGTCATGGGTCAGTTCTGTATAGGCTTAAAAGATCCTGATTTCGCAACAAGCCAGTGCAGGCCAGCATACATTAAACGGCTTTGGAATGGGGAACATGTTCTGACTAAGTCACATTTCAAGCTGCCTCAGACCTTGCACCCAGGATGTTGATCTTATCAGAGTTGCTAGTCACTATCCAAAGTCATTCACACAGAAAAATCATTTATCGGCACGTGCCCAAGTGCAACCTTGTGCCTCAGTGCACAGCCTGATCTCTACTTATCATGCTGGAGGTGCCACCAAAACAAGGCGTAGCAGGAAATGTATAAATTCTGTAGGATACATGCATCAAATCTCCAAAGTGTGCAATGCAGCAAGACTTAGACTTGGCACAGTGTTTGGCAATCTCAAAAATTGTCATAGGGGGTTTTATGTGTGTGATGTGACAAACTTCTTTCCCAGCCAAATATTTATCAGCCAGATCAAAAGGCATCATCCATTCAATTCCTGCTCCTGTCGTACAAAGCAAACCTTTAGATCATCAGCCTGGCTAAATGACACAGCTTAAGAATACTCGGTGACTCTTCCACCAAGACTCGTGATTTCATTTCCTCTAGAGGGATCTTTCGCTACAAACTTAAGTACAATGTACAAGGGGCTGGCAGAGAGGGTATATTTTGTGCAATACCATCAAACTGCCTTCATTGCATTAGTTCATGAATTCAAGTACCAAAAAATTATTTTAAACTTCTCCATAATCATTTGTACTCTTTTTGCTTTTATCATTCAAGTAGTGGTGAGTCTCCTCAGGACTGTGTGTTTTCACATATCTCCCAAATCAAGGGCGTTTATAGCTATTGAAAAGATCAGGTGCTAAGTCAAGTTTACCTGGGGCCTGACTTGAAATTTGTTTTTGAAGGAAGATTGACACCGGAGCTAAATTTCTCGGGGCCCATGTCCCAAGCTCTTACCTCCCTAACCACGTCTCCCCCTCGGCTGCAACAAGCACCACCGGAACACTACTGAGAAACTTCACACCCAACACTTCCTCAACAGTTCCACAGATCTATGGCCACCAGGATGTGAAGACTGCTCTTCCTTTGGAAAAATCTTCTCAGTCTTTGAGTAGATACCGTTTGAGTAGATTTGAGGCTTGCATGCAGCTGCTCAGCCATGTAAGCCCATTTCATGCAGTTCCCAGTGCGTAGTTTTTGTTCTGGGGGAACTTTGATAAATGCAGCCACAGTTCAAGTCTTATTATCCAATAACTTTACTAAGGACATTTCAAGAAGAAAAAAAATAATAGCATATTGAACTGTTCAAGCAGTCTGATTGTTTCCGCCCTGCCTGGTCTCTTTCTAATATCCATCGTTTGATAAACCTCCAGTGATTAGCAGTAGCAAGCAGTTACCTGTGGCTCACTGCACTCACTCAGTCATAAATGACAAGAAATCATGGTCTAGTGTGTGTGTGCGTGTGTGTGTGTGTGTGTGCGTGCATGAGAAAACTCGCTGGTTAACATTCTAAAGCAATGCTGTAGAATTTTAAAAGTGTAAATTTATTTTCTTTCCGGCTGGCTCAATTTTAAACTTCCCAAATTATTTTGTTGACCAGCACAGCAGGTAAGCAGCCAACCGGGAATTCTCTTGAGTCTCCCAATTGACCATTCTGGGCTTCCCGGTGGCAATGGGTCCAAATGAAACACCTTTATTAAGAGGTGTGTCCCAATATTTTTGTCTATATAATGAATGTCTCTGCCAAGAAACTGATGGGTAGCTCTTAACCTTTTCCACCTCCTATAGCTCGTTCTTTTCCTTCTATCACCCCCTGGTGGTGAAATGAGCTTCTAACACGTGTGACAAATGGAGAAATCTCTCCTTTTCAAAGACTTCCGTTCCTGTACTGCATATCAAAAGTAATTTTTAGATTAACACCTTTTGCGCTACGTATGCGGCATATTTATATAGGCTTAATTTTCTTCCAACTCAACGGTAATTTTTCTTCATATTGACCAAGTAGGTCGCTGTAAATAGGAACGTCAAACAGTTGACGTGGTATGTGAAACAGTTTTAGGTTTTTTCAAATCATTCATCCGAACTTATTGTGTCGAGGGAATGCAATTTAATTGTATAATTGCTTCGTTTAACTCAAATATTGCAATATGTCAACAACGAGGTATTGATAACATAGGTCTACAATTTTTTTTCTCAGGTGCCAAGGTTTTTTGAATGGGTTTAGGGTATTTTGAGGGTGCTGAATTCAAAAATCTCATTACTTTTGCTAAATTGGTTCTAGTTTTTTTGAGATAATGGACATCCATGAAAAGAATGCATTCCCCCAATGTGATTTGCGTGTGATAACAAGCTTTTGGTCTGTCTTTTGACTCAACAGTGTCTTAGGTAATGAAATATTAAGCCACTGGTGGACAAGAACAAAATCATTCTCCCACCGCTTCAAATTAAGCTAGGATTGATGAAGCAATTTGTTAGGGCTTTGGACAAAACGGGTAATTGCTTCAAGTACATTTGTAGATCATTCCCTGGACTGAGCATGGAAAAACTAAAAGCTGGAATCTTTAATGGTCCTCAGATTCGTACACTCATGACCGATTCCAATTTTACCAAATGCATGAATGACACTGAGGCTTCGGCCTGGAAGAGTTTTGTCTCTGTTGTGAAGAACTACTTAGGTAATCACAGAGCAGACAATTATGAAGAATTGGTGCAAGATATGCTTGCTAACTTCAGAAATTTGGGAGTTAATATGAACATAAAGCCATTTAAACAGATTTCCGGATAACCTTGGAGACTTCAGCGAGGAACAAGGCGAGAGGTTCCACCAGGATATGAAGGTGATGGAGGAGAGATATCAAGGCAGATGGGACATAAACATGGTGGCAGATTACTGTTGGAGTTTCCAACGTGATTGTCCTGACGACACACGTAAAAGGAAATCGCATAAACATTATTTATTGAAGCATTGGCATTATTAATCAATAACTAATTCATATTGTATTAATTAATCAAATCATACATAACTTTTTCCTGTCACTGTTAGATATTTTTAATTTCTTTTTTTGGTTGATGTTAGACAGTTTATACTTACTAGTTGTAACTAAAATAAAAATATTCTTGCAATTCTGAATGCTTTTCAAAAGTGTTGTAAATATCTCAGAAGCTAGAGCCAATCTGGCAAAACCGAAGTCATATTCTTAATTAGTACCATAAACTTAATATAAAACCGTTCTGACATCGTTGGCACCAAAATTACTGTATACCAGTGTAATAATTCAGAATGAAATCGAAAAGCATCTAATACCCACTGAGGTATTATACTTATTTTTATTTGTGTTCATTGTATTTTTAGTTTCAGAACTATATAAATGTTATTAGTTTTACCATCTTCTTCTTAGCTTTTACTCCTGTTTGAATTACAATTTAGTAACATCTATCCTGCATTTATCCGTCCTTTATCTAACACTAGGTGTGAAAGAGAAGCGGAAGGTAACTGATCATATATCAGTGGTACCGCTGGAAATGATACAGGCTCTTCTGGACGCTCCTTTCATTTCAGAGCTTTTTAACAACGAGCTTTTAAGGTGTCCAGTTACTCTAATCTGACCCATTGAATTGGCAGTACTACTTTCCCTTCCACGGTAATACAAACAGCCCTTTCACATGCAATGCCCAGAACCGTCTGACAGAAGTCGTTTGGAAAATATGTGTTTTGCAGTGATTTTGTGTTTCTTAAACAAGCGTGACTTTATCAGACAATGAAATAAAAATAATAATAAAATACCGACCAGCGCTGCCTTGTATGTATGCACAGCCTGAAGGGCGGTTAAACAGTGAATACAAAAGAGGAATTATACCACCGGATAAAAACTGAAATACCTTATAATATCTTAAAGTCGATATAAGCTACTCCACAGATGGCGATGGCGTATTAAGGTCGCAAGGTGGCAGTTTTGCGACATGAAGCAAATTATAACTCTGCTCTTCATTCTCGTTTAAGATGTACGCCAGATTTACCTTCGTTTCCCCCGTATTTATTAAAAACGCAGACGAGTCAAATGTGTAAAATTTCACTGTCATATAAGTAGGCATAATTGGCGTCGGTTTCAAGACTGTAAAAACTTAGACAAAGCTAAATTGTGGAAAACGCGATGCAATGAAGTTTTAATGTAAAGTTGTCGGACTTGACAATAGCAGGTTCTAGACAATTTAGAAGACAATTTAGTGACAGTCATGGACTTCACTGTTTTAAGTGAAGACGCACAATAAATACATTCAAACGTGCCAGTAAATTGCTTTAAAGCAATAACTGGTAGGATATATGTTTCGCTTTATTGTATATTCGTAAACCTTAATTTAATAATGTTATGGTTCTGTAATGCACGCTAAATCGCATAATTATGCACTGACGCATTAAGTTAATGAGCAGCTTGGTAAAAAAAAACACGTTGAAGAATTAGCAGTGATATCTCGTAGTTTGGCGTCTGTGCAAAAGGCCCGCCTACGCGCGCTCGGCATTGGCTGGCGCCTTTTGTTTTTAGTCGGCGTCTGGATTCCGATTCGTCACGGACGAGATCAGTCAACGGCGCACGGCGGTCCCTCGGCGCAAATTGATATGTGTTACATTCATTTATTCATTAGTAAAAGTTGAGGGAAATTTTTTGCCTTCCCGGGCCGGTACGACTTGTCAGGAATTCGACCCTTTTCGTCATGTCAGGAAGGGGACTACAGTTGAACCGTAGATGTTGTGGGTGGGGGTGGGGTATAGTTGGCCGTGGTGGGTGGGGTAATGGGGGGTGGGGGTGGTGAGGAGGGGGGTAGAGCACTGCCGCGCTCGCGCACGGACATCTGGAGAAGCCGGCGCGCATCGAGTACGCGCACCTCTCCTCCTTTCCAAACCCGCCAGGTGTATTGATGTCTGTCTCCCCGTATCGGGACTGCCGATGCCGCGGCAGAAAGGACAGGTGCGTGGGACACAAGTTGCCGAGTGGCGGCGTTAATCGGGATGGGGGGAGACGAGGAATAATGAATGTAGACGGTGTAGCGGTAAGGAATTGTATCGGAGCCGATGCTCATACTAAAGAATAATCCACCTTTTTTCATGCAATGAAATGCAAAATGTGAACAGATGAACTGAATCGATTGGACTTTTTGGTCCGTCTCATGCAGATCGACGACTTTAGATTTTTTTTATTTTTGTATTTTTTTGTACATCTCTATTTCGTTCATTATTGCTCTTCTATTTGATCGTAGCAAGTTGCAAGAAAAATAAAGATATAGCCTACTAGCCAGTAGTAGTTTCGAAAGTGAAGACCGACGGAATTTAAGTTTTTACTATGTTTTTCTAAATATACTTAAAGAAAGATGCAACCATCTCGGAATAGCATTGTGTTTCAAATGTATTTACGTACCACTGACGTGTTTACGTTCCTTGTCAGTTAATATGACTTTTGCATGAAGATCTCAATCATCCAATACGTATTTATAAGGATATTTTCAAATCATGTGCATGAGCACAAATGGGTATACTGCCTTGTCTGAGAATGAACGTCAGTCGGAAAATTCTGTGTATTTTTTCGGTCTGTGGTCTTTTTAACTAAGGAGAGAAACTGCAGCCGGGATTCAATAATATTTTCAATCATCTTGGGACAAGGGATTTACCATGTCAAAAACGCTGAAGAAGAAGAAACACTGGTCGATTAAAGTGCAGGAGTGTGCCGTGTCATGGGGGACCGGCGGCGAGTTCGGCTCCGTAGTGGAGCTACGCGGGGGTGCCGAGCAGGGGGAGTTCCCCCACCTGGGCCAGGTTAAGTCTGATGCGCTGGTCTGTCACTTCGGGAGGATCCCCATTGCGGGAGATGTGCTGCTAGAGGTGAACTGCACCCCCGTCAGCGGGCTGACACACCGCGACACCCTGGCCGTCATCCGCCACTTTCGGCAGCCGGTTCGGCTGAAGACCGTCAAACCAGGTGCGTCCGTCGCCGATTGCTCGCCGGTCACGTGACGCCGTCGAATGTGCTTTCCGGAGGTCTCCTGGTTGATTTACTTCCCCTGGGGCCAGAACCCCGCAGGGGAGGGTTAGTTCTCCCATGCACTCCGCTAAGCTGGTGTCTTCCGAACGGACTGGCTCTCCAGAGCACAAATATACCTGTTTAGGGCTTTGACTGGCATTAAAAATTGGCCATGGGCTTTGGGGTAGCCCCCAAGGTAAATTTTGCCAAGTAAAGGTGGGGGGGCATCATTGTGATAAATTTTGCCACCCAACATCGGCCGACCACGAAAATGCCCAGCATGCCAGATAGCCAGTCCAGCCCTGTACCTGGTTAAAAAGCGATCTGGCTCCTAGGAAAGTATCGGGAATCAAACCCTTCAGTTTACAGTGGATAACACACTTTGGCACCTTCAATGGCCTGTGCCATGCAGTTTTTGAGTGCATAGGTGAGGTGTACGTATAGTTTATTTTCTCCAGATGCCTACCCAGGAGCCTTCACCAAGCATCAGTGTTAGTTTTACTCGTGAGTCAGTTTGTGTTGCTTTTCTCCTTGTCCAATATTGAAATGGTATTGAGAGTAGACTTGCACGTCAGCCGATGGTCTGCTTGCTTTTGCTCTTTCTGTAATATCCCTGGGGCTGAGTCACTGGTAAGTGGAAATGCAAGAGTGTTTGTGTTGGGTCGGGTTGCAGGCGGGTCATCTTTACTGAGAGAAGAGCCTGGAACGGTTGGTGAGAGAACTGACATGTATCTGGGGGGGGGGCTGTGGACACTGGCATGGCCCAGAACGCGCCTGTCCATCTCCTGAATCCTTAACACCGCAGTTTGTGGGGGCACTTTGGGATGGAAAAGGGAGATGCATCATCTCTCACTTTTTGTATCTTAATCTTCTACTCATAGTCGTACAGGTGCTTGTACAATACTATCACATTCTAAAATATTTATGAATTACTGGCACCCATGTTGAGAAATAACAGTCTTCTGAGTGTCTTGAAAACAGAGCTTGGCCTCAGGGGTTCAGATGATCCAGAGCCTAACTGGCTGAAGTCATTGATCTGTAAGCATGCTTCTAGTTGTGGTACAGTACATGTTGTTTTTCTTGGCTGGAGTCAGGGGTGGGGGTATTATGGCTTTTGAGATGTAGACCATGTAGGTCACAGAGGCTCAGAAACAAAAAAGATGTATTTGACTGAACGGATGTTAGCTGGAGTGATGGATACCCATGCAGCAGATGATGTAAAATTCGACTACGACGAGCCTGGGGGCAATCAGTATGCTCAGTTGTCGGTTTGCTTCTTCATTTCCACTGGTCCCTGTGTCCCAATCCTTCCCCGCCAGCATTTTCTGTGACAAAGCCCTTGTTCGGAAAAAGAAAAGGATGTTTGGTGGCTAAATTTAGCCCAGGTTATCCAGCAGGTCTCTGCATTTTTTAGAGGCCATGTTTAATTTAGGCAACACCATTATCCGCTATACCCGAACTCGTGTGCCGCACACCTGAAGAATCCGCTGCAGTCAGTACGTTGGGTAGGCAGGGTGATGGTGGTGGGCATGTGACTGGGCAAGGAACAGAAAAGAATGTTGGGTAGGTAGGGTGATGGTGGTGGGCATGTGACTGGGGCAGGAACAGAAAAGAACGTTTGGTAGGTAGGGTGATGGTGGTGGGCATGTAACTGGGGCAGGAACAGAAAAGAACGTTTGGTAGGTAGGGTGATGGTGATGGGCATGTGACCAGGGCAGGAACAGAAAGGAACGCTTGGTAGGTAGGGTGATGGTGATGGGCATGTGACCAGGGCAGGAACAGAAAGGAACGCTTGGTAGGTAGGGTGATAGTGGTGGGCATGTGACCGGGGCAGGAACAGAAAAGAACGTTTGGTAGGTACGGTGATGGTGGCGGGCATGTAACCGAGGCAGGAACAGAAAAGAACGTTTGGTAGGTAGGGTGATGGTGGCGGGCATGTAACCGAGGCAGGAACAGAAAAGAACG